TGCAAGATGTAAAATATATTTATATATATATATATTTTGGGGGGGAGGATAAAAAATTGAACTTTGATTAAATGTAAAATCATAGCCAAACCTGCTTTGTCATCTTCATTTTTTTATCACTTTCACTATCATAATTGGTCGAATCAACATCGACAGACATGTCGATTTCCACTTCCCCACTGGCAGTTTTCACCCTTACCTAAAAAAAACTAAAGAATAAGATTGGTTCCAAAATAAAGTGAAGATATTTATATATATATATATATATATATATATATATATATATATATAGAGAGAGAGAGAGAGAGAGGAACCTCCTCGCATCGTTCTTCTAATTCGTATGGTCGCCAGCAAGGTCTTAAAGGATATTGCAAAACATATAACTGCAATTTTATTCCAAAAAAAAAAAGCAAAATAAGCAAAACTGAAAACTAAACAACTATGAAAATAAAAGAAATAAAAATGCGATTACCTGAGCGTCGGCGCCAATAGAAGGAGTGAAGAAGACGTCGATTTCGCGAACAACCATATCTTCGTCATCTTCTTTTTCTTGATCTTCATCTCTGTTGGCTTCGCTCAAGATCTCGTCATCTTTAGTTTCCCCATCGATCTCCATCTTCACCGCGCCATTTGATATCGGTTGTTCGGCTTTCAGTTCAGCAACCACCGGTGGTTTTAAATCCTCATCCTCGTTTTCTTTCTTTTTCGAAACCAATTCCGCAGGTGGCGGTGGTGGCGGTTGGGGTTTCGGTTCGGAGTCTTCAGGATCCTGTTTGGAAGACGGTTCGCGCTTCGGCTTAGACGTCGGTTTGAGCTTGGGTGCGAATTTGGAAGATTTGGGCGCGAATTTGGTGGTTCGTGTATTGACCTGACTTGAACCGTCGAGTTCTCCTAAATCATCCAGGTCCATTTTCAAGGTTTTCTTCTCAAAGTTGCTGCAGTAGCTGGCTGGGGTTTCTACGATTAGGGTTTTAGAGCTTCGAGTTTAAAGAAAGAATCTTAATAGTCTGGCTTCACTGAACAATGGACCAAAAAGGAGGATAATTTAAAACGTAAGAACAGTTAGAAAGGTATAATTGCCTTTTTCTTTTCTTTCTGGAAAGAAATAATGGATCGCTTCATTTGGTTTGGGCTCCTATTATATTTATTTGGACTTATTGATTACATTATTTTTAGGATTAAGTTAATTTGGATTAGGAATAGGCATGAGATTCGGACCCGATCCGAATCAGGTTGAATTTTTTTAAAAAAATTATAGTTGGGTCGGGTTTTTTTAAGTGTGATGTTTATGTCGGGTTCGAGTTTAAGATAAAAAAATACTCGACCCGACCCGAAAAAATATATAATTTTACATTATATATTTAAGAATAATTACAATAATACCCCTATATATAAATTTTTTCAATTAAATCATTATTTTTATTGAATAAAAATACTATTTTTTTATTATTTCGGGTTGGGTGAACTCTTGTTTTGGTCGGGTCGGGTCTCGGGTGGAGGCTCCCTTGTTCTCGGGTCGGGTCGGGTGGACCAAAAACTCGACCCATGCTCATCCCTAATTTGGTTCGCATTAATTTCGATTTTAAAATATTTTTAATTATTTTCCTTTGAGCTAATTTTACATTTGATTTAATTTATGGCCTAAATTATTTTTAGTTCAATTCAAATCATTTTTATTTGAGTCCATCTTTAATTTAGGTTGTTTTAAGTTTTAGTTATTTCAGATTCAAATACTCTAGATTTCATACAAAGGATTAAATTTCCGAATTTGATCATTTCATATTTAAGTTGTTTAAAATTTAATTTGATTTTGTATGTGAATCAATTTTAAAATTGAATTGGATAAATTTAGATTATTGAGTTTTTATAATTAAATTAAGTTGGTAAAAAGGTATCATCGGTCCTTGTACTTAAAAAAAACTAATGTGACCATCACATTATTTTATCTCTTAATGTGGTCCTTCAATTCAGAAAACAAATCCAATGTGGCCTTTTGACCAACGTTTTTCGTCGTTGATCGTTACGATGCTGACGTCACAATCCACAGTGGCTGATGACATGACAGATGAGCTTAATTGATTTTTGTTGTTATAGTTCAAGGGTCAAATTGTTTTTTTAAAAAAGTTCAATAGCTCATTTGTTTTTTGTATAAAATTTATTTTAAATTTTAAATATAAAATTATTCAAAAATTCAAAAAAAAACTAAATATGAAAAATACAAAAAAAAAATTAAATTATTATAATATTTTTATAAAAATAAACATAGTAAATAAATAAAAATTAAATATAAATATTACAAATACTAAAACTATTACAATTTTTTTAAAATTTGAATATATACAATAAGTTGCAAAATAATTACTAAATTATTATATAATTAAAAAATATCTTTAAAAAGATATATTATACATAAAAAATACATGTAACATATAGACATATCATCAACACTTGTACAAAGTATTTTAACTAGATTAATCAAGAATTACAAAATTTAAATTTGTCGAGACTTATAATTTTTGGATTAGTCAAAACTTATTATGTTTTCGAATTATCTTTTTGTAAGTCTCGACTAATTTAAAAGATAATATATGATAAGTTTTGACGTAAAAGATAATTAGAAAACATAATAAGTTTCGACTAATCCAAAATTTGTAAGTATCAACTAATTTTGTAAGTCTCGATTAGTTTAGTAAGAATACTTTGTATAAGTTTTGATCATATCTCTATATAATACATGTATATATTATGTAAAATATATCTTTTTTAAAATATTTTTCATTTTTTAATAATTTATAAGTTATCATTTTATAACATATGATATATTAATATAATAAATAATTTAATTTTTTATAATAGTTTTAGTATTTTTAATATGTATATTCAATTTTTTTTTAGTAATTTAATTTTTATTTTAGTATTTTTATATTTAATTTTTTGAATATTTGAATAATTTAATATTTAAAATAATTTTATTTTTAAAAAAAATTAAATAACCCCTTTAACTTTAAAAAACTAATATCTGCCATGTCATCCGCCACTTCATCAACCAACATGTATTGCCACTTCGACACCATTAATTGTCATGTTAGAATCGTAACGGTCAACAACGAAAAACGTTGGTTAAATGTTCATATTGTATGTTTTTTGAGTAAGAAGATCACATTGAGATAACAAAATAATATGAGGTCCACATAGAGGAAAAAAACCTTTTTGCTAGTTAAGTTTAGATTTGAATTAATAAAAACAATTTTCATATTTAAAGGTTTATAAGAAATCATTTAAAATTTTTGTACCTTATATAGACCTTCTTCATGAATCGCACTTTTGTTGTCAATTCTTCACTTATCAAGGCTTTTATAGTTCCTAAATATCTTTGGAGTCTCGTATCCTCCGACAAACAACACTCCCTTAGCATACCACTAGCAAGCCCGTATAATCTATCATAGTCTAATCTACTATCTAAAAGTAATATATATTTACTCTATATGTTTACAGTCTTGACCTAGGTCTGACACCAGCACTAAGGGTTAATATATAAGTCATTATGTAAGACTGAAGAATGGGACATGTCGCAACCAGTTTTCGTTCGGGCACGAAATTTTACTTGACGGGAAAAGTAATATGAATAAATTAATGATTTTAATTTTAAAAAATATTTTGGGAGTCGCCATCGGCCTTTTGGGTCAGGTAGGTCGAATACCTGAAAATTATCTTTTAAAAGAGCTTTTAAGAAAACATCAGTCAAAAGATAAACCGGTCTGCGTTTTAACCAAAATTTGTTCTTTTTAATAATAAAAAGGGATTCGTGGTCGGTTACGTTTAGGGAAGGATTAGCACCCCTACAACGCTCAAAATTGGTACTTTATTAATTATAAATTATCTCTATTATTGGAAATTTAAATATTCAAAAATATATTTAATTCCTATTATTTCAAAAAAATATAAATAAAATATTTATTTATTTAGAAATATCAGAAAAGGACTTTTAGGTACCTTAAGACAGCTTTTTTCTTTGATATTAAAAAATAAATAATTAATTAAAACATTTTTCTAAAAATAATAATAGATTAATATATGTAAAATAGGATATTTATAAAATAAATAAATATTACTTATTACATATTTATATGAAATAATAATAATACTTAATAATAATAATTAAATATATTACAAATAAAATATAAATATAAATATAAATAAATAATGACTAAAATAAATAATATTGAAATTATAGTAGTAAAATATAAAAAGTAATAAAACTTATAATTAAAATAAATGAAAATGACTAAATTATAACATATCAAAATTAAATAATCTAATTCGCAATTAATTATTTAATATTACAGGGGCTAAGCATGCTATTTTACCTATTATTAATTTAGTGACTAAATTAAAATTATATCGAATTATTATATCAATTTAAAATAAATTAAAAATGCTCTCAGGATTAAAATAATAATATCTAAAATCATAAAGGACTAAAATAGTTATTTATCCTAAATATTGTATAAACATAGCCAATGACTAAATTATAAATTAATAAAATTAGAAGACGGATTTAAAATATTCAGAAGTATAATTTAGTGACTATTTTGTAAAGATTACAAAATCAAAGGGGCTGCGAAAAGGGTTTAATAACTTTGGAAATTACACATACGTCCCTCCCCCAAAACGACGTCGTTTGGGGGAGGGTATTTAAACCCTTTAAACGGCCCAAAATCCCCTGATCTATCTCATTTTCATTTCTTCTCTCTCTCTACACGAGAGAACCAGAATTCTCTGCCTTCTCTCTAGCTTCCCTCATCGGAGGGAAGTCAGTCTCGGTCGGCCACCGTATTCCGGCTCTGATCGCCGCCGTTGGTCACCGTGAATGGTGGCCGGAATTTGAGAAATCACTCCCAAATATCCCTTTTTCGATCCTAAGGCCAGATATGGCCTTCTTTTTACCTAAACATACCTAGATCGTCTTAGATCTAAAAAAAACCCCGAAGGTTTTTTACCTTCGATTTAGTGACGATTTCGGCGACGTTTGATTTCCAGTGATGAGTGAAACCTCGAAGGTGAGTTCTTCTTTTTCTCTATTTTTTCTTCGTTTTGGTTTTGCTGCTGGTTGTGTGGTTGTTGCTTGCTGTTTTTTGTAGACTCTTGCTCTCCGTTCCCTTTTATTTTGTAGGTTCTCCATGGCTTTTATAAGCCTCGACGAGGCTCTCATCTGACCAGTCCAAAGGGGATTTTCTGGTAAGTCACCAAACTATGTGGTGACTCACCCCATAGCTACGACGTGGACGGCCGTCGTGGTGTTTCTGGAGTCTTCGAAGAGGGTGGCTTCGTGGCTGCTGCTGGAATGGACCATCTGGAATCATAGACGACAACTGTTTATCGTCGATCTAAGGTGACGTCGGCGCTGGCTGAGGCGGTTGGATGATAACCTAGGGTTAGGAAACCCTAGGGCTTCCTTTGCTGGAACCATCTGTGGACCGTTGGATCTCTCAGATCCAACGACTGAGATCATTGGCGGTTGGGGTTGAAATGATAAAACCCTAACCAGGTTTTAGGGTTTGTTTTAGGCCGGCTCTGTTGGGCCTGATTGATTAGGTCGGTTCTGGTTATGTAAAACAGGCCTCCAGTTTTTTTTTCTTGTAATATTTATTAAATAATAATAATATATATAATATATAATAATAATAATAATTTTAATAATAATAATAATAATAAAACGAAATGAAAAAAATTAGTATTTACAGCTGCCCCTCTTTGCTCATTCTTGTGTTAACAAGAATAGAGCAAAGACGAAAAAAAACAATAATTTTTTCCTTTAGCTTCTTTTGAGTAGAATGGAAATGTTGAAAACATCATGCACTAAAGGGCTTACAGATGACCCTAAGGCTTTGAAAACATCAAAAAACTCCCGAAGGCTTTTTGGAAACATCATGCACTGTAGGACTTATAGGTGACCCTAAGGCTTTGAAAACATCAAAAAGCTCCCGAAGGCTTTTTGGAAACATCATGCACTGTAGGACTTACAGATGACCCTAAGGCTTTGTAAACATCAAAAAGCTCCCGAAGGCTTTTTGGAAACATCATGCACTGTAGGACTTACAAATGACCCTAAGGCTTTGAAAACATCAAAAAGCTCCCGAAGGCTTTTTGGAAACATCATGCACTATAGGACTTACAGATGTGGGAAATAGTTTACTAAGTAAAAAAACTAAGGAAATCGTTTTCTTACTTTTTAACAATTTCATTTTAGAAAAGATAAAATGAGAAACTATGGAAATCGTTTTCTCATTTTTTTCAAAATAACAACATCAAAAAGCTCCCGAAGGCTTTTTGGAAACATCATGCACTGTAGGACTTACAGATGACCCTAAGGCTTTGAAAACATCAAAAAGCTCCTGAAGGCTTTTTGGAAACATCATGCACTATAGGACTTATAGATGACCCTAAGGCTTTGAAAACATCAAAAAGCTCCCGAAGGCTTTTTGGAAACATCATGCACTGTAGGACTTACAGATGACCCTAAGGCTTTGAAAACATCAAAAAGCTCCCGAAGGCTTTTTGGAAACATCATGCAGTGTAGGACTTACAGATGACCCTAAGGTTTTGAAAACATCAAAAAGCTCCCGAAGGCTTTTTGGAAACATCATGCACTGTAGGACTTATAGATGTGGGAAATAGTTTACTAAGTAAAAAACTAAGGAAATTGTTTTATTACTTTTTAACAATTTCATTTTAGAAAAGATAAAATGAGAAACTATGGAAATCGTTTTCTTATTATTTTTCAAAATAACAACATCAAAAAGCTCCCGAAGGCTTTTTGGAAACATCATGCACTGTAGGACTTACAGATGACCCTAAGGCTTTGAAAACATCAAAAAGCTCCTAAAGGCTTTTTGGAAACATCATGCACTGTAGGACTTACAGATGACCCTAAGGCTTTGAAAACATCAAAAAGCTCCTGAAGGCTTTTTGGAAACATCATGCACTGTAGGACTTACAGATTACCCTAAGGCTTTGAAAACATCAAAAAGCTCCCGAAGGCTTTTTGGAAACATCATGCACTGTAGGACTTACAGATGACCCTAAGGCTTTGAAAATATCAAAATGCTCCCGAAGGCTTTTTGGAAACATCATGCACTGTAGGACTTACAGATGACCCTAAGGCTTTGAAAACATCAAAAAGCTCCTGAAGGCTTTTTGGAAACATCATACACTGTAGGACTTACAGATGTGGGAAATAGTTTACTCAGTAAAAAAACTAAAGAAATCGTTTTCTTACTTTTTAACAATTTCATTTTAGAAAAGATAAAATGATAAACTATGGAAATCGTTTTCTCATTATTTTTCAAAATAACAACATCAAAAAGCTCCCGAAGGCTTTTTGGAAACATCATGCACTGTAGGACTTACAGATGACCCTAAGGCTTTGAAAACATCAAAAAGGCTTTTTGGAAACATCATGCATTGTAGGACTTACAGATGACCCTAAGGCTTTGAAAACATCAAAAAGCTCCCGAAGGCTTTTTGGAAACATCATGCACTGTAGGACTTACAGATGACCCTAAGGCTTTAAAAACATCAAAAAGCTCCCAAAGGCTTTTTGGAAACATCATAAACTGTAGGACTTACAGATGACCCTAAGGCTTTGAAAACATCAAAAAGCTCCCGAAGGCTTTTTGGAAACATCATGCACTGTAGGACTTACAGATGTGGGAAATAGTTTACTAAGTAAGAAACTAAGGAAATCATTTTCTTACTTTTCAACAATTTCAATTTTAGAAAAGTTTGAATGAGAAACTATGGAAATCATTTTCTCATTATTTTTCGAAATAACATGTTGATTGGGTAACATGCCCCAATCTCAAGATAATGCTCATTTTTGTTGATTACGTCTATCTATTCTTCAGATGTTTACGTGATTCCTGTATTTACGGTTTTGAATACCTTCTTCTTGTAAGGTATTTTTTCCATGAATCTTCTTGTTCTTCTGAAGATATGTAAAACTTCATGTTTGAATGCACTCAGATGTATCAATGTAATGCATTGTCTATTGTGTAAATGATATTCTTATGAATGCATGAATGTTGATGCAATCTTCATTTGACTTCAAAGTGGTGAACTTGGTCTTCTTTCACTTCATCATTTATTGCCAGGGTTACCTCTGGATATCAGTGTAGAAACTTATGCTATCAAGCTTGCATTTCTGCAGAATTATCTGATCAACTTGTATCTTGGTGCCTTCTTTGCTTCATTTAAGTCTTAGAAGAAATGTTTCATTTATGGAACTCATGTCGTAGTCAAAATTATGACCCTGATGCCCCATTTTGTCTTGGATAAAACCAACTTTATTTGCTTGGACTTGTGTATAAATCCCATAAAGCTTTCATCTTTGAAAAGAGAATCTATCATCTTTAAAAAGAGAATCTATCATCTTTGAAGAGTGTAGATGTAGATATGTCTGACTCGGCGGGGATTAATTAGGGGAGTAGAGTCTGTTCTGATTTAACTCTTGAAACACATCATAAGGAGAATTTATCTCAATTTCTTTCATGCCCCCACATTTAAATGGTTCTCGAACAAGGCAACTTGGATCATATCATGTCGAGATGCTTAACAACAACCTGTCGTTCAACCTTAGTTGGCTCCACTAGCTTCTTGTTGTTAAAATTTCAGCTCTCCTTCTGCGGAAAGAAATCTTCATCATATCTCAACTTATAATCTTGAAGTCGAAGAAGACAAACTTCATCTTGGATCAAAAATGGAAACCATATGATCACAACATTGGTTCAGCATCAGAATAACTGGTTCGTAAAACATTTGACAACACATGCATCATCTCATGTGGTTTCTGCTCAGATGTAAAACACTTGACAACACATTCATCCTTTTCTGTGGCTTCTGCTTAGATGTTCGTAAAGCATTTGAAAACACATTCATTCTTTTCTGTGGCTTCTGCTTAGATTTCTCAATCATTGAAGCTCTTTGCCTAGTGTTCAAAGTTTTTGTATGATGTCACAAGATCACTTGAGAACAAAACTCAATGGGAATACAAGTGAAATAATGGTATGAAAAAAAAAGTTGGTCAAATTCACAAAATGTGCTGGTGTCGAATTGAATAAGAGACACTAATTACTCTTGATATCATCTCGGACATGGGCAAGTGTGATACTGATCAAGTTTTCTTCTGTAATGAGCATTGTAGAAAGTAGAAACACTTCAGCTATAGGATCCATGTACAGAAAGATATCCGTAGAATTCTTGCTGCTGGGGATGAAACGTACATGATAAACCCAAAATAGATAAAAATTCAGTTCATCTTGACGGGCAATGATAACCCCAGTAACAACAGGAATAACAGTAATGTAAGTGAGTCGAGTCTCCCTTTCCAATGTCATCGATTAAGCGAAAACTATTGTGAAAACAGCTTCGTAATCCTAACAGTATGGTTGAAACTAACTGCCAGGAATCTCAAAGAAATATTTCCAATCATCACCGACATACAGAATACAAAATTCAAAGCTGAGATCTTGAGGAATTGAACCCTGGATCGAGTAGTCTGCCTGGGGACCATCTTTATCCATGATGTAGTTTAACAAAGAACACATTGTCATGTGACACATGGTTTAAGAAGATTAGGTATTTGAAATCATACTTGCTGAGTAGATATTTGTTTAACAACAAGATTCTAATGCAAATTCCTGATGAACGAAGCAATTATGTATAGTCAGCTCAACTGTCACTGTTTCATCATTTTCATTCTTCATATCTTTCTGTCTCATTGGAAATATTTGTTCAAGGCAATAATCTTGACACAGGATGATATGGGCTTTTAGCATGCCCCAACATTTGCTGATACAAACATTCAAAATACATCAACATTTCTGATTCTGATTGAAATAGGCTTTCAGCATGTCCTAGCATTTGCTTCTTGCTGATCCTTTAAATGTTCCACATGGATCTGTCTGAAATAACCTTTAAAATGCTCTAACATTTGCTGATACAGATGTTAAAAAAATGCGTTCAACA